TTACTGTCTTTATTTGAACTATGGTGATTTTCCTTAGCTTCTTAAATTTTAGCTTCTTATTTTATAAAATTAATATTACATTTAAAGAAAAAAATGGTAAAGATAAAAAGACAAGTAAATATAATTCTGTATCCTTTGAAGAAATACACTACAACTTTGAAGAAGTTATTTATGAAATAACTTTATTAGATTTTAAGGTAAGAACAATAAAAATTAACAAAAAGAAATATTGAAAATAAAGAATGAGAAAGGAAAGAAAGAACAAAAATGAAAAGAAAGGAGAAAGTCAAAAGGGCAAAAAGAAAGAACGGAAAGAAAGAAAAAGTACAAAAAAGAATGACTTCTGACTTTCCTGACAACAGATATAAGTATCAGTTTACACTAAACTCTTACTCTACGTTTACAATATAACTTTATTTTTTTCTATCATCCTGTATTATTTCTAATCATCAAATCCATAATTTTCTGTTTCACACAAAAAGTCCAAAAATGGCTTCCAATTAGTGTTCAAATTATTCAATGTCTTTTCTCTAATCAAAGCTGTCAGCTTCGCCATCTCAGCCAACTTCATCAACTTTACCCTCCATTCTTCCATTGTAGGTAATCTCAAGTCTTTCTACCTTTGTGCATCTAAAAGCTTTGCTACTGTTATCATATATAGAAACAAAGGTCCATGAGTTTTTTCAGCTGTTTGTCCATCAACCCCTAAAGAAAAGTCTCTGGTTTCGATTGTATATTAGTCTTTAAAATCTTCTGGATTAATATATGTATTTGATTCCATTTTTTTTTAGCTTTTTTACAAGTCCACTTGATAAAAAATCCCCTCTTGTTCATATTTCCAACATAAATTCAAAGTACCTTTATACATTTTAGATCTTTTATGGTGACAAGTACCAACAATATATCATTTTATAAAAATTTTCTTTAAGATTATAACACAATGTAAATTTCAGTCTTTTCATTCATATATTCTCCCATTGTACCATTGGTATATTATACCCCAAAATTTTGGTCTACTTTATCATACATTCTTTGACTTGTTCAACTTATGTTTCTAACTTCAATAAAAGTTTATATATCTTAGCGATAATATGTTCATCATTAGTACATAATTCTATTTCAAATTCAGTTTAACCATGTTCAAAATCAGAAGTCCTTTTATTTACTTTAAACCTTTCTTATAATTTTACATATTAAAACTGTTGACATATATAACATTCTGATGTCAAATACTCTTTTGTCTTTAATTTGAAGTCCCCTTGAAAAAAATCCAATACATTACCATAAGTTAACCATCCGTGCTTAGTTATAATTTCTCTTCTATAAAAAGCTTCTTGTGGTGATAACCATAAAGGAACCTTCAGGGATAACCTAGGTGTATATCTGTTCCATATTCTCATATATGGCATGTCTAGTAAAGTGATTTTTAAAATCTACATTATCATAGCCACACCACCCAAATGTTAGATCATGTCTCTCTAGTTCTAATAACCTTCTATTTCTCAAAGTCACCCAATCTTTCATCCAAACTAAACAGCAAGCTACAAAGTACAATTTCAAATTTGGTAGACCTAAACCTCCTCTTTACCATCTTGTAATATTTTATACTTAATTCATGGTTTTTTATCTTGCCATACAATAAATTTTATATATCTTGATATATCTTTATGTCATTGTTTAAATGGAACATCAGTTGTCAAAACAGGTAATATTTGAAACAAGACTAACATTCTAGGTAAAACATTTACCTTAATCACAGAAATTCTTCCCAGCAATGACAATTGTAATTTTCCCCATCTTAACGTATCTTTTTAAATCTCATTCCATGTCTTAACAATTTTGAAACAATATACAATTTGTATTTGTCAGATCAACACTCAAATAAATCTACTGGGTTTATGGATAGTGGGGATTATTTGGAAATATCCTGAAATACGTTGAAATATAGTTAATTTATACTCTTTCTACAGTGGTTTAATGCTTGAGGTTTATCTGCAAAGTTGCATTATAACTGATAAAACAACTTGCAGATCATTCTTCCCATATGACTGTGCCTGGATCAAGCTTTTATTTCCCACTGTTTTTTCTGTCTATGAAATACAGGTTTTTGCCTTTCATTCATGCCTCTTTGATATTTACTTTTTTAGAAAAAGCTCTTACAAATTTTTTTAAACCAACCCTCCCCCCCCCAAGTTGGATTTTGTTTTAGGTTGGTCACTTTTACTATTAAGATCTCTGCCAATTCTTATTTGTCCTTCCCCAAATGAATGATATCTAGCCAGATTTTATAGTGGTGGCCATTTTATTTTGCATGGAACCACATATGTAAGACAGTATGGACACAGTCTTTCAGACAGTGGTTCTGAGGCAGGCTAGCTACATTAAAGATTCGTACAAAGGAATCCTAGGATTACTTATGGTAAGAATAGTTGTGGAAGAAGACAGGTCAGTTCTATAAGTAGTATTTTGCCAGTCACAATAATCATCTAAATCCCTGAATAATCATCTAATCCAAGCACATCAGGGTGGCAAATTGTAGAAAGTTGAATTTAAGGTTTGATGCAAAAACATTATCCACTAACTCTACTCCATCATGGTCCCCTATATATATAAATCCTCATTCCTTTTCCATCCAGTTTTTTTTTTCTCTTTCAGAGGTATGGTCTATCAGAGCAAAAACACATCTTATAGCTGATTACTGAGACTAATTAAATAATTTGCTTAATTAGTAGTCTTATAATAATTTTTTCAAGCCTGTCATTTTATTGGTAGTATTAAGATAGTTTTACAAAAGGAAAAGTACTGAGAAAGAATTTTTGCCAAGCATCAGTCGGTAGAGCACTTGCCTGTTCTTAATGATTAATACATAGTGTCCCAGGACGATCCTGACAGACCAGTTAAGTACTTATAAGGAAGAAGTGGTGAATGCTCCTAAACAGGATTAGCATGGGCAGCACCGTCCCAAATCACTGTATATCTGCGATATCTCTGATTTCATTCCACATGCTTCTGATTTAGGATTACAGTGCAAAAGCAATTATAATTCCTTTGTCCCTCAAAACACCCCACAGTATTCTTTTATGCTCTAGATGAACATTTTATGGGAATGATTGTTTTCTGTACAATATTTGTTGAAGGATTCATTTACATAGGTTTTCAATGCTACTATTGCATCAGTGTAAATAGTTAAGGAACACTTTTAACTATGGCAGTGGGCAGATTTCCTGTTTGGGATAATGTATGACACATAGAGTTCACAAACAATGGCTTAGAAGAGGATTATTTGAAGATGAATCTTCCTGCAAATGATGCAACATAGGAGTAGGAAATTAAATTATGCTAATCTAAAATATGATGTCCTGCTCCCTGATGTCTAAATATGATGTTCATTGTTTTTTCTTAATTCTAGGCTAGAAATAAGTAATTGGCAACTTGTGGGACAGGAAAGAAAATCTGAGAAACTAGGAGTCAATATAGACTTGAAGGAGAGTATGTTTATTGTCTGTAAAAGAGTTTACATAGTAATTTCAGTAGACTTCAGTGCTAGTTTAATGCATTCATTTTATTGCCTGATATTAAACTCTGTGACAGTATTTCCCAGTTGGTACTCTCTGATATGTTGAGACAATTTCCAGAATCCTCCAACAGAGCTTGTCTTATATAACCTGGGAATTTGAGTGTTAAAGTCCGAACATGGCAGAAGGGCATTCAGTTGTGGAAGACTGCACTGTATCATTCAGAATTAAGGTGGGAAATCTATGGCCCTTTTAAGGTCAATGAGTTGTAACTCCCAGCATGGTTGATGGTGAGCAATTTATATAGTTTGATACAACTGGAAGCCACAGTTCCCCAACCCTTAAGTATTGGATTAAGTAATCACTATAGATTTTTTTGCTTGATCAGAAACTCAGATTATACAGAATTCCTGAACATGTAGAAAGACCAATAGAAGAGAATATATGTAGGTCAAGGTTGAACTGTGGAGTCCTTGGGATTCTCTGAGCTTGGTTGTTTTCTTGCAAATGTTTCATTACCTGGCTAGGTAACATCTTTAGTGCTAGAATGGAGTGCCATTCTAGCACTGGAGATGTATCCTAGCTGGAAATGTTTGCAAGAAAATCACCAAACTCATAGAACCCCAAGGACTCCACATGTAGAAAGACTTGTAGCACTTCTTTTATAATATCTACTACAGCCATAGAAATCAGAGTCAGGATCATCCAGCATGACCCCACCCCCTTTCAATGTACATATGATTTACGAGGTGCATGAAAGACTATTTAGTCATACAAGGCAGGAAGTCAAAGCAAAGTTAACTTGTTTAAAAGAGCATGGCAACAACAGGACAATGAGATATACCTTTGTTCAGCATTTGGTAACATGTATCTTTGGAAAACAATGCTCTAGCTTCCAATAAACTGACTGATCTGGCAGAAGGAATGTTTTCATAATGGAGGGGTCAAGTAAACACAGCAATTGGAATATAGCCTGGATTGTCTCAGTTGATAGGCAACCCAGGGAAGTAAAGAGGTAGACATGGAATCTTTTTTTATAAATGTAGAAAATCTTTAAGGAAAATTTTCATTAAGTCTATATAAACTGTATAAAAACATGTATGTGGATTCTTCTTTTTTATACTGTAGGAAAAACTGGTTAGTAATAAGAAGTCACACCCTATATTTGATTTGCTTTTTCCCACTTGTTAGCTACAGGGCTTTGTGCTTGGAAACAGATGTGTTTCACATTAGGAGTCTTTTTAAATATTTGGAAATATGCCAGTAGAATAATCTTTTAACTAGGGATTGGTTAGCATTTGGGAGTGTGTGTGTATTTTCTATACGAGTTTGAGTTAGTTGTGCAACAGCCTGCTACTCTGAAAAAAAAAGCAGAAAAAGTGCTGAGTAATGCTGGAACTAGCTCCTATGGCTGATGCAAACCTGGGGAATTTGCATCATCATTCAGCAAAGCTAACTTGGTATGACAGGGGAGCTTAAGTACAATGCCATACAGAAGTGGAGCTGGCTTCCAATGACAGAACAGCACCAAAGTAATTGAGACAAGAGGCAGGTGTTTTTCAGCATTTTGATATAAGTGAAAAGTCAAAGACACCTGAGGAGCTTTATACCTGTTGGCAAAAGCAGGTTTAAAGGCTATAGGCAGGAAGGGAGTGTGTGCAATAGCAATTAGCTTAGAAAAGTCGGTGAGAGGAAGAAAGAACAGAGAAGGGTTTTTTAAAAAAATAATATTCTTTGTTGATTGTGTGAGCTGCTCTAAAACATGTTTAGGAAGTCTCCAGTCTCGTCACTTTCTAATGGAAGCTACCCACGGGGACAATCTAAGTTGCCTTCAACTTATGACTTCAAGGGAGACCCAGGAGACAAAGTGGTGCTGAAGAAGAAAATAACTTTTCTGAGAGGAGTATCCATTATAATTGGCACTATAATTGGAGCGGGAATCTTCATCTCTCCAAAGGGAATCCTCCAGAACACAGGCAATGTGGGAATGTCCTTGACTGTCTGGACTGTCTGTGGCATTCTTTCACTCTTTGGTAAGTTTGTGAAAATTTTTAACTGATCCATGGGGTGGTTAGCTGTGGTTGTGATATACGTCTGTCTATCTGCAGAAGCACACACACAAAGTCTGAAGATCAAAAGTTTGGTTGGAGAGTCACAATTATTGTGGCTTCTGTACTGAATGCATTTAAGCTGCATTTTCAAAGTAGATGGGGCTCCCCAAAATAGACAAAGAAAGGAGCTTCCTTGATCATAAAATCTGCTGTTTGTGTTGCTTCTGTTTGATCTCTAAAAGCAAGTTGCAGCAGGCTTGCAGATGTTCCAACTGGGAGATGAACTTTTCAGTCTCAAAAACATCTAGGAAAAAAATATATACGTAACTCAGTGATGTATAAAGATAATTCTTAATGGAGTACATTTTAGCTGAATAATTTGCTGCCCCCCCCCAAAGTATAGTAATATAGACTTACATTTTTTTTTGAAAAGTAATATTATGAGACTGAGGTCTTCCTGGAATTTTTGTAGATGCTGATCTGGAGTTCCTTACTTCTAACCCTAGCTGATAGGGAAGATTATTTGGTAAAAGTAAAATCCCCAGTCCATGCTCAGAAGCATTCTTATCTTGATCAAAGTACTTGTAATGTTAGCAACTGCTCTGACTTAAAGGAAGATTCTAGAGATTTTAAATTAAAACTTTAGTAGCAATCCTATGCATTTTTATTATTGAACAGTGTAAGTCCTTCTGAGGAGTTACATACATCATTGCACTATTGAGGGGCAGCATTAATAATCCGCTTGACAATTTTACAATGTACAGAATGGCATTGCTTAAAAATGGCTTTGGGTTTCTCTAAATGTTAATAATTATATTGAGAACACAAAGAACCATTGATGTTAGGCTTATATCTCCTCCTTAAACTGACCAGACAATGAATTCATTGACTGCCATAATCAGCTAAGTGCAATAACCCACATGACTAGAGTTATTATTATTAGCCCATACTACTTATTTTCTAGCATTAGAAACAGGGGATAAACTAGGGTGAATATCAAATATCCACACAAGAAGAGGAATGAATGTTGCTCTCTGTCAGTTTATTCTGCACTTTAAAGAGCAGAGGCAAGGTTGAATCCACCCTTGATAAACAAGTTGCTTTACAAAAGCAAACTGGATTTTGATCAGAGGTAGGATATAGAATTGTCACACCAAGGATAATCTGCAGTTGCTTTCTCAATCTAGTGCTTTATGGATATCTAGATTTCAGACTTCCAAAATTCTCAGATACGGTCATCAAAAATGTCTTATGCTATAATTATGATCATTTCTAGGTAGATAACTACTTCAGCTAGCAACAGTAGGAATAGTATAGTCCAAAATTTTTGCAATGCCTATATTGGGTAACCAACATGGATATTCTAAGGATTATCCATAAAATAAATCCATCTTCTGAACTACTTACAATGATATTGTTTCCACTTATGCTGCTTTTTTTTTTTTTTTTTTGTGGAATGACTAGGGGAACAGAAATAATTTTTACTTTCTGAAATTTGCAACACACAAATATTTTCTGATAAATTCATTGAGAATGAGTTTAGCAGTAAAATTCTTCCTAATATTCTCATGCTCAGTATGATTAACATTGCCTCCAAACTATTCCATTTTCCATTTTTGTTCCTTGTGGAATTTTTAAGAATTGAATGATTAGATTACACCAAATTAATCTATTTAGCCAGGCATGTTGAAATATAATATTATGAACAGAATTCTGAAGATGCTTATTTTAGAAAATTGTATATTTTCTTATGAATCAGGACTAATGTTTATTTCCATTTATTGATACTTTTCACTAAGTTTGCCTTGTAATTTCTACTGAGAATGATTTTGATTGATTGATTGTATAGCCACCCATCTCACAAGAGAGTTATTCTAGGCGGCGTACAACGCTCAATTAAAAAGAACCAATAAATACATATAAAACAATCATTAAAACTATAAAATCTATAAAAAATACACAAAACATGAATAGATAATGTTAACCATAGTAAGGGAGCCATCACACCAGGATAAGACATTCAGAGCATCGCTTAATTCACAGGGGCAGAGATGTATATTTGGAAGTAGAACAACTATGGCAAAAGAAACCAAAAATAGTACCAATAGTAATAGGTGCCTTGGCTGCAATCCCAAAACATCTGGAGCACCACTTGAACACCATCAACATTGACAAAAATCACCATTAGTCAATTGCAAAAGGTAGTGTTACTTGGAACAGCTTATATCCTGCGACGATACCTTTAACACCATCAACAACAACATCTGCCTATCCCAGGTCCTTGGGAAGGACTCAATAGGTGGATGAAAATGCCAAATCCAGCCTAAACATCTGGCTGTGTAATCAACAACAACAACAACAACAACAACAACAAATCAGGGTGCCTGCAGCAAGCAATTATGAGTTCTTTGAAAGACAGAGATTCTATTGTGATGCTTTCCAATTTTGAAATCCTTGGGGAAGAAGCTCAGTTGCAACCCATTTACTGTATCCCTATGGGGTTTTCTTCTTTTTCAGAGAAGGATTAACAGTAGCTCAACTTCATTCCAACTAGCATTTATCTCAATTTGGAACCACCATTAGTCTGCTACAATTACATTCCCAAATTGGCTCCTAATAGGATCCATAATGAGATCTTGTTTTAATTCCTGTTTTCCACACTTCCATTTGTAACACTTTGGTTTTTCTGTATTGGCAGAAGATTAGTTAGGACAATTTTAAAATATTTCTGATATACTCACCTGAACTGGCCTTGTGTTAATGATTGATAGTTTTCTGGGAAAAAAAGAAATGTAAATAAATGTCATTTTATTGCATGAGTACTCCGGAAACCAGTGGAATGTAAGTCTGCTTACTGATAAAAAAAAAAAAAAAAAGAGCACCTGTCCTCTGATTATGAAATTTTTTTGATAAAGCTTGCCAAAACTATAGTTTAAAATTAAATGTATTTTTATAGGTGCTCTCTGCTATGCAGAATTAGGGACAAGTATTAAGAAATCTGGTGGGCATTACACATATATCCTTGAAGCCTTTGGCCCACTACCTGCCTTTGTAAGAGTCTGGGTAGAACTACTCATCATACGGTAAGTAAACACAACTTATTTTGATGCTGTCATTCTACTCCTTATGTGCTTTGAAAATGAAAGAACAATTGTAAATGTGATCTGAGTTGAGACAACCTACTGGCTTTTCTTTCTTAATTTTTCCTATTCTTGCATGTTTCCCAAGATTTTATATATTGACTATCTGAGTGCTTGATGTCTTTTTACAAACATAGATAAGCTTATAGAAAAGTCAGTTACCAGATTGTATATACACACACACACACACACACATATGTACAAGTGATAAATAATCACATAAAATAAACTCCCAACCTAAACTCACAAACTGTAGTATACTTAAAAGAAATTTGGGAAGCTGCTTTGTATCAAAGGACAGCAATATATTTGACCTCTCTTGTCTTACAAGCTATTACTCAAAATTTGGTGAGAGATATAGATACAGATATAGATGACATAGATATAGACATAGGTTTTCCTGTGGCAAACAAAAAATGGATTATATATTGATGACACTGTGAAGTGGGGCAATAAGAGAGTGTCTACGCAATTATAAAATATACAGTATAGGAGGATGAGTTGTATAGATTCAGTCTGCCATTCCAAAACAGCAGACTCACATGCAGTATGGATTTTCACATACATTATGTACCAAATAGAACTGTTGAGGACAAGACAGCGCTAAAGTAAAAGCCTGTCTATATTTTGGCACTGATATATTAAAGAAATAATCTGCTGGCTTCAGAGAACAGCCAGTTCTATTCAGATCATAATGATTTGGAACCCGTAACATATCCAATTAGTGATCCAGTCCATATCCTTGATTTATTGCTTAATCATTGGCTGTGGCACTCTAAACCGAGAGCCAAGAGTGTTTGAATTGTTCTAAGCCAATTCCATATTTGAAACCAATTTTGAACCTAGCTTTCAAAAGAAGAGTCCAAGAAAACTGACAGGAAGTTGGGAATATAATGGGACACAAGCCCAAGGGGGTTAACTTTAGCCAATATTCAAAGGTAGTAATCCAGAATATTACCTTTACCTTCAGAAGACTAGCTTAGATTCACAAAATAACATTGGCTACACAATTAGAAATGTGAAAGATTGCCTTAGACATTTTAGATTGGATTGATTTCAAGAGCTGTAAATTGGGGCATGATCCCAGCTGAGTTCATATAAAATTTGTGCTATCAATTTGCCTCAAAAACCTTTTAGAATGCTGGACTAAAATGGATACCTTTGGAGTATAAGAAACCCCAAATCACTATAATGTGTAATGTTGGGCACTTTGTTGAGTACTTTGACTATGAATTTAGCATGCTCCATTCATGAACCACTGATTTTTAAACATCTTTTTACAAAGACCATAATTTCTGGTTTTTTGATAATTGATTGCCATCTCCCTACTTACAGAGAAAATAATTATCCTTACATAGGATCAGGTAATTATTCTCGTTGAAATTTAATCAAACCATGTTATTCTTCAATCAAAAATCTGTTGCACAGTGACAACTTTTAAGGGACTTACTTGCAAACAATAATAACTTTACTGCAGCAGAAAGACTGGCACATTCAAAAGAGGTGCATATACTCCCCCCTCCCCCCATTTTACTTATAATTTGTTTAGTTTGGCAGGAGGTGATCACTCAGTGGTAATGAAAATACAAGTCCCAATACATGAATGTGGGTATATAGATTGCACATATGTGTAGGATATGGATTTTTATATTTCATATTTTACATTAATATTCTTCTTTTTCTGATAAAACAAAAATAAATTGGAAAGCTAAGCTACAGATTTCCAGAGGTTGAATATGTCAGTTGATGGGAACTCTGTAGCTGGACAAATCAAGCATCAGCACTGGTCTTATCCTTGGGCAGAATTATATTGGGGAGAATGAGCAGATCATCTGAGGTTGCAGATATTGAGAGGCAGCCATGACAGCTCCCTGAATTACCTAGGTGTTTCTTTGGTGTATGGGCATGCAACCTGTCCTTTCCACTCCCCACTTGGTGCTTCAGGTGTAGTGGAGACACTATTTTACTATCACTGCTGAAGTAATAAAGTTTCATCTGACATTGCTGATGGTTTTGCTTGTGGAATAGGAAAAGGATGTTCTGTTATGTTTTTGAGGCATAAGCAGAGGATGACTTGATAAGTCACCTGAGCAGGAGTTGTTTGTCTGGATCCTTCCTGGACATTTACCTGTAGAGACATTTTCATAAAGTGTGAAAAACCACACTCAGTCTAGAATTGTATTATTTGGCCCTGGGTAATGAGAAAATAGGATAATTCTCCCATCATTGTATCTTTGTGTGGAAAAGGAGGAGAGCAAATTAATCTTGTTTAGTATTTAGTAATCCCTCAACCATTTCAGAAATATTGCATTAGAGCCTTAGTTGCTTATTTACAACAATGTAAAACTAAAATTAGAACTCATAGTCTACTATACTAATGAACAGACAGTTGTCTGAAATGCTCATTGTTTACTATGTTACTATTCTTTAAAAATCAGTTTTCATATTGTAGTATACAAATGGAATATGGATTGCTAAATCAGTTTATGTGTAAAAAGTTTAGTCCCTCGATCCATTTACCAAGTCTACACCTGACAAGTTCACATTCCAAAAAGATTTCATTTCTGTGGCACTAACATGCTTTCTCACTTCCTCTTTCATTTCCCATTCTAGTTACCTCATTCCAGTTTATCTTATTGCCACATACACTCAACATAACAAGCACAGCAAACAAGGAAGAATTTGGTTTTTATAAATGACAACAGCATTTTAAAAATGCTAAATCACCATGAGTATTTTGATTTCTTTACTCTCCTGGCAACTTCTGAGACTACTGAATGAATTAGCACTTGCTGACCCAAATCTGGCACTTAAACAAATAAAGAAAACCATTTTTGAATTATTATAGTTTGTGTGATTGAAGAAAAATGCTTGTTCAAACCAATAACTGTTGCGAGAGAATTTTCTGCATTACCAAAATCACAATACACATAAAATAGGTTTCTAACTCCTGTTATAAATCAATTGGTACTGTTCCTACAATGCTAAATTTTAAAAGAATGGTTCATTTTAATTTTATAAAGGCCAAACCAGAATACCTGGTAATCAGTAGTGAGATTCTGATGTTGTAAAATCAAAGACAATTCACACTAATCAGTAGTAATAATTCTCACTGACACCATATCAGATCAGTGTGAATTAACTTTTAATTGTTCTATCTTAACTTGCTGTTTAGATATATTTCACTTTAAAAAAAAGCTTTAAAAAGGAGTACAGTACAAGGTTTAATTCTCCTGTTTTTAAAGCTGCAATTTTACTTGTGATGGTTGAGCTATCAAATTATTTTTCAGCATCCATTGGGGATGTAAATGTGTATTGGCAATTTCATATCCATATAATTTATTTGAAGCATCTTTATATTTAATATAGGCACAAAATCAATAGTCTTAGAAAAATGATCTCTTTCTCTCTCTTTTCCAGCCCTGCTGCCACCGCAGTAATCTCTCTGGCATTTGGACGCTACATATTGGAACCATTTTTTGTACAGTGTGAAATCCCTGATCTTGCTGTTAAACTCATCACAGCTGTGGGAATTAGTAAGTACTGAATTTTGGTAGAAATGGGGTGAGGCAAGAAATAAGTAGCAGATCATTAAAACCAATTCTTTGTTTAATGGTGGGATGTGCAAATCAGTGTGTTTCAGAGAATCTATTCGACTTGAGAATTTGAATCAGTTTGAAAAATTGGTTTGATTTGGATATCCAAATTGATTAGGAAAAAGTGTTTCAGTACATGCTCAGAAATGTCCAAATCCTTTGATGCAAAGACATTCAATACTGTTATTTGTTTTGATTTTCCAATTTGATTCATAAAGTTATTTCAATCAAATCACCTTGGAATCAAATATCTGAAGCAAAACTTTATAGAGCTCTAGTTGATGGACTTACATTTCAAATTGTGAGAATTACTATGACTGACATTTAATTAGAAGCAAATTAAAAAGTAAACTCAAATGGAATATTAATGATCTAAGACTAAATCTTTTGAAATATATTTGGAAGAACAAACTGTTCTTTTTAAATTATGCAATATATGAGTGATTCTGTGTGGGTGTATGTTCAAAAGGAAAGAAAGTTGTTATAAAACTGCATATATCTACACTCTGGATTAAGGAGAAATGTGCCACATCCCTTTTGCAGAAAAGCCACATCTCCTTTGCAGAAGTTCAGTTGCAGTGTTTCAGAAGTAAAACATGAGTACCCATTGTATTAGATTATTTCAGTGAGGTATCTAATCAGATACCTCATATAACAAATTAAAGAAGGCAAAGCATAACAAATTGAGGTTATAATATGAGGGAAAAAAATGAGGCTGGGATCTGGTAATAGAATTGTGGAAATTTTAAGAAGTTGTGAAGTTGCAAAATATGTAAGCTAAGCTATGAAATGGTACATGATATCAGGATCACATGATGCCTGTGTTAAAAAAAAATCTGCACAGGTTGCCTATTGTTTTCTGGCACAGTTCTAAGCATTGGAATTTAACTTTTGATCTTCAAGTGTTTTAGGAGTTGGCTATCAGGTAGACCATCTTTGCCATTCTGAATACTGAGGTATTTCTGGTTTCACAGATCCATTTATTGGGCATCTGGGAGACAGACTTTTCTTGCTTTGCTCCAGGCTATGGATTGTACTCCTTCAGAAGCTGTTTTTCCAACTTAGAAGACAGATAAAGATGCATCATTTTGGCAGGCCACTAAATGTTAATGATTGAATATTTTAGCCTGCCTTGAGTGTTCCACAGGAAAACAGGATATAAATTGAGAAAAATAAATAAACTAACTGCAGGGTGAGTAATTAAATGGAAACATCATGCAATCATGGAACTGGATAGTTGTCTGTAACTGAACTTAGTGACAACAGAAATAATAATGTGTCCAGGTCTAGTGCCAATGATGAGACTATAGATATTTGTCATTGAACAGCTTGATCACTTTATAGAAAGTGTTAAAGATGCTCCAAAAAGTTCGATTTTCTTTTCTTATATACAGGTAGTCCTAAACTTATGGCCATAATAGGGACTGGAAAATTAGTTGTTAAGTGGTGCTTTCATTAAGTGAGGTGTCATGTTACTGCACCTAGTTTACGAACTTTTTTGCCACTGTCATTAAGCGAGACATCATGTGACCACAACTTGCGACCTTCCCTGCCAGCTTCCCCAGTGATTTTGCTTGTCAGAAGCTGGCTGGGAAGGTTGCAAATGGCAATTACTGCAGGATGCTGTAACTGTCATAAATGCGTGACAGTTGCCAAGTGCCCAAATCATGATCACATGACTGCAGGGATGCTGAGACTGTTGTAAGTGCAAGGACTGGTTGTAAGTCACTTTTTCAGTGCCATTGTAACTTCCAGTGGTCGCTACACAACTCGTCATAAGTTGAGGACTACCTGTAAAGTCTAAATGAGTTGGGTCTGAGCATATCTCATTAGTCCCTATGTGGTGTTGCCAGATATCTAGTTTGTCTTGACTAAGTGTATCTACTGCACACATACAATGCATGTAAACCTATTCATCCATTTTTAAAAAATCTCTTTTAAAAGGATTATTATGTGGCAAATGACTTTTGAGAGATTATAGAAAAGATGTGGCAGCACCATGCTTAATATTAATATAAAGAAATTGTGAACAGGAAAAATTAATTTTATGTTTTTCATATACAGTATATCTATGACAGAAGTGCAGTGTTAGAAAAATGCCACAATAATAGTAGCCAGGTATTAGAAAGGAAGTTAATGGCATCAAAAATTATGAAGTCATCCAAGATAATTCTAATTACCCATGAAAATATGTGCAGCTTGCATTTTGCTGTTCTTGAATTTCAGCTGCCCAAACTTAATGAAGGCTTGTTTGAACAACATTAATCATTTGTATCTTTTTTTCATAAAACAAAAACTTAAGAGAAAAAAAATACTGGACGTATTTTTTTCATTTAATTCTGTTAAAATCTAAAGTTCTTATTAATAGAATTAAATCATAGGAAGATAGCAGAACAATGAAGACATTCCTCCAAAGGGGTTGATGGTATGGTAGCAGAAAGAAAATCTATCAAAAATAAATATTTGATTCTAGTACAACAACCACATTATTTAGACTGAGATTTCATTATGATTGATTTAACAGAAAAATATTTGAGATAGTGATGGTAGCAATCATTATACAGCAATTAAACATAAAACTCTATGGCAGGAGGACAAAGTTCTCCTGAAATCATGACATATGTAACAGCAGATAGAAATGACTAGAAATTGTTATCATGGGGACCAAATTAGAAGCTGTGCCAACAATGTGGATAAATTGCTGTTTCAGTTGGAGCCTCTTTTAGCAAGTCCTTTGAATGCAAGCCACACTGCTCTCAAGGGAAGCACATAAAGATAAATGAGATAATAGCTATAAAAAGGTGAACAGGGAAGATACAGATATGAAGCTGAGGAAGAATATTATAAACAAGGCCAAGTAGCCTGGGAGAACAAAAACATTTCTTGCTAGGGTGTTAGTTCTGCTCTTACTACAGAGATAAATGCAACACTGAGAAGAAAACACAGATGAAACACGGAGCTTCCATAGAAGCTCATTAGGCCTCATTAACTCATTCACTTGTTCCTTAAGTTTGGTTTTCTATTTCCAGTCACCCATTCTACTCTGTCTTGAAACTGCTAAATTTAATTTTGTGTTTCTTAGCACCCACCCCAAAAATTGGCAGTTGAGAACTGGGCTTGGAGTTCTGCAAAAATCCTTGAGGAGCAGGATACAGGCTATATACAGTATAGCCATGGTGTATATATTACTGTATGTGTCTGGTAACCATTCCTTTATCACAATTCTAGCGCTCATTCATATTTTCCTAGTAAATTTGAAGGAGTGTTAAATACCATCAAGAAAACATTTTGTAACAATTTTCTCTCAGTGCTTAATTCTAATTCTTATCTAACAAATACGTCTATGATAAGAGAACAGTCACTCTAGCCTTTTCATCTTCTGAAGCAATTTGCTATATAACTCTCCGCAATGACAACTTTTCCTACCGAAGTTATGCTTTTGACCTTTGCTTTTGAGTTTCAGCTTTGAAAGCTACCATCAAAGTTAGGAAGATGAGGCAAATTGCTTGGGTGGCTGATCACACTTGCATAGTTACAAAAGTGAATATTTCTGTTGTAATATTAAATTGTATCAATCAAGGAGAATATAAGTTTATTTTAATTATTTTAATTAGTGCAATATTGCAAAACATATCAGTGATAGTAATATAAAATAATATTTATGATTACAATAAACTAAAACAAAAGGAAACAAAACTAGAAAGAAGGAAAGAGTTCCATATAATATTAAGATTAATACAACTTTAATTCAATTTTTAAATTTAAGTCTAGACCTATTAAATCTAGAAACATATTGCTCCTTCTTCTCATATTTAGAATAAAAAAACATTTCAAAAGGAACAGATATTCTGAATAACATTATATAATTGTTTTGGGATTGTAAATTTCTTTCCAGCTACATTAAAATAATAATCTTTGCCAAACCCAGATTAATAAGACAGAATTCCTCAAAAATGTCAAATTCCACATTTTGGTAGTACAATTCAACAGTACTTTTACATCTTTATCTACCATATGTTTGAACATGCATAATAACTTGAAATCAATAAGAAGCCATGACTGAATGTGACTAAATCATATGAGTCAGAGAGCCCTCAAATTTCATACCATGTCAGGACAAGAAATCTGATATTCAACCTTTCTAAAAAAACATTCCTTGAGGATTCTAATGAAGACAAAACAAAATTTTATGATGAATACACTTCAAGGAGAATCAAAGTGAAATACCAACCTTTAATATGCATAGATTCTTATAAAACTGTAAGTACTTAAGATGAGTGTGTGTGTGTGTATATATATTTCTAATATGAGTAACAGGTATAAACCACTTCAACATAAACATGTAGAAAGAGAGGAAAGTTGGAACTCATAGTAGCAAAAGAAAGAATATATCGATAGAATGACAATTTTGTTAGGGTTTTTTGTTGTGCCTTTCTCAAAAGTAGTCCTTAAGACTACTTATACATGGACATGAAATCAAGCCGTTTGGGCATTCTATTATATTGGAACTCATTCATTATAGATCAGATGTTCATAGGCTTGATTTTATGCATCTTAGTATTAAAAATCAAGCATTCTGTGGAATGATATCTCTGACCCAAACACCAAATCTCTCTGGTTTGGATCAGAGATAGCTTTGTGCTACCATATCTGGCTTCAAAAATATGGATAACTACTGGATGATAGCAGAAGAATACAAAAGATGCTAGATGTAGAGGTTGTTTTACAGTCCAGATATGGTGGCCCTAGGGTAGATGCCAGCAAAGCTTTCATTTTGATCCACTTGGGGAATTAACATAAAAGCTAGTGGTATCTTTTCCATCACTCCTTCTATATCTTTGCTATAACAACAACACAATGAGAGGTGCATGGAGACCTGCTCTGATTGGGACAAGAAGAAGTAAAGTAAAGAGTGGCTTGATTCTCATTAAATGATCTTC